GCACAGAGAAATGTATGTCTATCTACCTATCTGTTTATACACGTGTCTACACACATTATAAAATGTATGTCCCAAAAGTATTAGTGTATTTCAAAGACCTGATGGCTTAAAACTGCACTAAGACTTTTGGGAGAACATACTCACACTCTGTGTGTGTGTGTGTGTGTGGTGTGTGTGTGTGTGTGTGTAAGAGAATCACAGACTATGAGAGCAGAGGGGACTTTAGAGATTACCTCACGAATCAAGGAATCAATAACTATTTGTTCAGTATCTAATGTGTGCAAAGCACTGTGTTAGGCATCAGAAAGATGAAAAACAAAGAAAAATACTTTCTTACTTCAAGGAGCTTACATTCTATTGGGGGATACAGCATGTACACATGTGAGTATATGCCAGATATATGCAAAATCTAATACAAAGTATTTAATGCAGTTGAGGAAACTGAGGCTTGGAGAACTAGTGACTTGCTCAATGAACAAGCATTTATGAAGAGTTTACTATGGGCTAAGTACTGTGCTAAATGCTGAGAATGTGAATATGAGCAGAAAGATGGTCCCTGCTCTCAAAGAGCTTATATTCTAATCAAGGAAGACAACACATGAAAATAAGCTGACAGGGCTGCAAAGGGAGCCCAGAGGAGGTACCCATTGTGAGGATGGCGATAGTGGTAAAGAAAGTCCAGAGCAAAGTCTGGAGAGGAATGAGCGCACAATCAGTAACAATAACAAATAGCTTTTATATAATGCTTCAGATTTGCGAAACATTTGACCAACTGTCTCACTTGATCCTCACAAAGGAGAGATTAGTTTTGAGAGATAAGTACTATTATTATCACCTTGTTATAGATGAGGAAACTGAGGTTTGAAAAGATTAAATCACTGGCTCATGATTACACACATCTACTAAGTAGAGGAGGCAGCATTCCAATCCAGGTCTTACCTGACTCCAAAGTCATCCATCCTATCCTATCCACTTCACTTTTGTTGTTGTTCAGTTGTTTTTCAGTTGTGTCCAACTCTTCCTGACCCCATTTGGGGTTTTCTTGGCAGAGATAATAGAGTGGTTTGCCATTCCCTTATCTAGGACATTTTACTGATGAGAACACTGAAGTAAACAGGGTTAAATGTCCAAGGTCACACAGCTAATATGTGTCCGAGGTGAGATTTAAACTCAGAAAGATGAGTCTTCCTGACTCCAAGCCAGGCATTCTATCCACTGTACCACCTAGCAGCTCATCCATGTTACACCTGCTTTTTTGACAGAAAGTGACAGAGCTTGAACCAGAGGCCTGCTCTCTGGGCTGTACTGTCACTACTGAACCATTCCTCCTTCAGTATCCTTTAAGCTATCTTGCTTTAATGGCTAGGAATATTCCTGAAGGCAGCTAGGTGATACAGTGGATAGAGTGCCCAGCCTGGAGTCAAGAAGACTCATTTTCCTGAGTTCAGATCTAACCTTAGACACTTCCTAGCTGTGTGACCTTTTGCAAGTCACTTAACCCTGTTTGCCTCCATTTCTCATTTGAAAATGAGCTGGAGAAGGAAATGGAAAACCACTCCAGTATCTCTTCAAAAAAAACCCCAAATGGGGTCATGAAGAGTTGGACATAACTGAAAAATGACTTTAACATTCTTGAAGCAGTAGGAATTTTTTTCCCATTTCATTGTGGTTTGCTCAACAAATGTTTGAGTTTTGAGGTACTTTCCTCCCTTCTCTCCTCCGAGCTGCAAAAGAATAATGAGAAACAAGTATATAAGGAAAAGAAAACAGCTTATTGGGTGAAAGGGGACCCAGATTGGGTCCAAATGAAGGAGCTTCTTCTTGGGTCTATGGATTTACATCAAATTGTTCTTACCTATATTTTAATGTATCCTCATCAATGTGGTTGAGATGCTTTTCTTATAAAAATACCATTTTTAACTACAGTGTGTGGAGAGAATGGGAGAAATCTCAGATCCTTAATGTCTTGAAATGGTGTAGCCCTAAGTGATCACTTCAGGCACATGCTCTTCAAGTCACTGGCAGATGTGTTCTTCTTAAGGGTTATAAAATCTTAAAAACTGCTTAGAGGAAACTAGCAACCACTAATCCCAGTTTAATAAAACCTTTCCTCACATGAAAGCATAGTGCATTTTGGTTTGTACATGCCTGTTATTAAACTTCTCCTGGAGCCACATGTTGACATCTGTGGACAGTTTTGATTTTACCTCTGAAACAACTTAGTTGTATAAAAAAAAAAGTTCCAGGAATTGAATTTGGCCTCTGGGTTAATATCATTAAAGTACTATATGCAGAAAAGCAGATAAAATCATATGGAATGCCTCCTTGGAGGGCTTATGCTAACTTACTATGTACTAGTTGTAGAAAATAATTCTGAATCTCCAACCACCAATTTACACCATTTATTCCAAAGCAAGGGGTGACAATCACAGCTGCCAATGCAGCATTTTTGCATCCAGAGGCTCATACTCTCTCTCCACAGCCCCACTCTGCCCCTTGACTATGTTGCAGCAGCTTAGAATAGTGATAGCTTATGACTAGGAGAAAGGCTAGTGCAGTGCAAAGAATGCTGGATTTTGTGTCAGAAAACTGAGGCTCCAAGCCTGTCTTTGCTACTTAACTGCCTATGTTGACTTTGGGCAAGTCAACTAACCTTCTTGGGCTTGGATTCCTTATCTGCCAAGTGATTGAGTTCAAGTAGATCTTTTTAAAAATAAAATTTTACCTTATTTTCATTTTACCTTCACTTCTAAATCTTTCTCTTTCTTTCCTTCTCTCCCTCTCTCCTCTCTCTCTCTCTCTCTCTCTCTCTCTCTCTCTCACCTTTCTCAGAAAGCCATTCATTGTAACAAAGAATTAGAGAGGAGAGGAAAGCTAGTGGGCAAAACTAAGCAACACCTCAACGCAGTCTGACACTATGTGTGACATTTTACACAAAGAAGGGAGACAGGTGCATTTTCTCCTCTCTTCTTCCATGCCGGTCTGAATTGTAATTAGACAGAATTCTGGGGGTTTATGTCAGTTATTTCATTTACATTGTTGCCATCAGGTGCATGTTTTTCCTTGTTCTGCTTACTTCACTTGGTATCAGTTCATCTAAGTCTTCCATTGTTTGTTGGAATTCTTCACATTGTTTCTTACTGCAAAGTAACATCCCATTCCATCTTACACACACACACACACACACACACACACACACACACACACACACACGTCATACATACTCAATAATTTCTTCAGCTATTCCACAACTGATGGGCATCTACTTTCTTAGTTGACATGATCCTTAGTCCACCATACCTCTAAAACTCCTTGAGTCTATCTACAAATTATGAGTTGTTGTGTTCACCACTGGTCACATCACTACCAATCACTCTAACACTGGACTTCATTGCCTGAGAAAAATCAACAAGATCCCAGAGTTCAAAAACGGAACCGATGAGGAAAGTTTCAAGCAACAGCTATCTAACTTGCTGAAGAAAAGAGTAGTTATGACAGCACAGATTTCTATAAGTTCTTATACAAATGGATAGGAAACAGGAGATAAGACAGGACAGGCTGTTTTATGTAAAATTACAAGTATCCACTCTAAAATCTAAAACTTCCCAGTACCCTGTACCCTTCTGTCCTTGGCCAGTCAGTCTTTTTGATAGCCTCTCTGGTGGGTTTGAGGCAGGCAGAAGGGGTCCTACAAAACAGAGTAAATCAAACCTTCTTTCCCTGACTCTCCAGGATAACTTTTGGCTTCCCCCCAGGATTACCACTCAAGTCACTATCTGAAAATCCCTTCATGTATTAAACCAAGCCCCTACCTATTTGTCCTGTCACTATTTGTAAGTGCCCTCAAGCAAATAGGTACAAAATTATTTCCCTGAGGATAAGTAAAAAAAGAAGGCTTCACCTGAAAGTGTTATCGTACAAAGCAACAGGCTGCCCAGGAAGGTTTCAGGACCTTCTTCCATTCTTCTTAAATAAGAGACCCATCTGTCAACAAGGGTTTTGTCCTGGCAGGGATCCCAAGCAGACAATTTCTCAAACTCTTAAGGCCATCTGGGAACCTTGACTTTTTCAACTTTCTTTCCATAAATAACACATTAAGCCCAGTAGATGGCAGCTGAAACCAAGGATTCTGCCAAATCAGTATCCTGAATGAATTTTTTTGTATATTAATTTTTATTCTAAACCCAAACACCAAATAAAACAGATATTTCCTTATACACAGTAGAATCTGTATATGCTTTTAAAAGTAAGATTTCAGCATTTAAGCTCTCTTTTTGCCACTTATAACACTATAATTTAGGTGCCACGAAAACAAAGAAATAAACAAAATAGAGTAAGAGCTCAGACTGAGGCCATAGCAAAAGTTAGGGACCCAACCTATGACTTTATTCATATCCATGGTGAGGAAACTCCCTCTACCAATGCAGAATGGCACCTTCTCTGCAGCCTATCATCTTGGAAAGCTGCCTAGAACAATGAGAGGGTAAGTAACTTGTCCAGGATCACACAGCCAAGATGCATCAGAGGTGGGGACACATTCAGAAAGATCTTTGATGAAATTTTAGACGATTAGACCATTTTTATTGACAAGTAAGGGTGTGTCCAAGAAGGCATTCATGCTCGTGAGGGGCCCTCAAAACCTTATTATATAAAGAATAGTTATGTTTAGATTGGAGGGAAAAAAAAGACTCAAGAGGAGGGAAGGAAGACAAGACCACTATCATCATATGTGAAGAGCCATTTTATGGAAGGAGGATTCAGCTCATTTTGCTTGGTCCCAACTATGGTACACATAACACACACACACACACACACACACACACAGAGGTTGCCTCCCCTGGCTAGACTATAAGCTTCTTGAAGACAGAACTGTCTTTCCATTACTGACAATCTTCAAGCAGTGGCTGACTGCTTGCTAGTGATATAGAAGGGAAATTGAGCTCAGGTCCTTGGCAACCCTGAGAGTCTATTTAAAAACTAAAACACGAAAAAATGAAAGAGACAGTCAAGTAGATTGATATTTATTGGGTGTGGATGTCTTAGGCCTTTTTATGACAAAACAGAAGAATATATGTGGTCCTTCTTCAACTAGAACTTAGAAAGGAGGAAGACATGTCAATTGATAGGTGAAGAATTGGCGATTTCGCAGCACTCTTTACTGAGGATTTTGCAGTGTATTGACAGAAGTAATGAAGCCTCATGATTGCTCATGAGGAGGCTACATTCATGTCACAAGATGCTCTTGGGCCTCTTCATTTGGCAGGGCAAAATAATTAGCCCCAAAGACTCTTCAGCTCCAAAGTGACCCTCAGACATTGTTCCAAATAAGATCAAATCAGTTAAAGACTATTGTTCAACCTATAGGAAAAAGTAATTTGGAGGGGGTTTCTCCTTGATCTAACTCTATTTGAATCCAAATTCTGCCAAAGAATTCCAGCAAAAAAAGAGAGCTGGGAAAATTAGCCCAGTGTGCGTTGAGGATTTATCCAGCAAAGGCATATGGGGCGATTCCTTTTACACCAAGTCCAGTTATCTGTTTAAAAGAGAAAAAAGGTGGTTGGGCAGGGAGGAAAAAGTTTTGGAATAGAAGGAAAAAGAAAAACACACCCATTATTAGACTTTCAAATAATTGTTATATTTCCTGAATAGAAACAAGAATTTGTTTTAATCTTCACTCTAATATTATCCTTAAATATTTTCTCTTATCCTAAAGAAAGGTATTACTTACTAATTGTCTCCTAAAATCTGAGGCATAATCTGACTTCATTATTCACATGACACAAATCTGGCTACCACCCACTGGCAATTAACTTGGCTTTTAGAAGGATTTGCTCGTCTTCATTCCTCTCCAGGTGACAGTCTCCTCAAAGGTCTCAGCTGCAATGCCCCGGAAATCTTTTCACCTTGGAAGTCTACTCCAGCACCAGATTTTACATAGTGGAAGGATTGTCGACCTCTTTGGACCTTCTCTCTTATTGGCTACTTCCTCCCAGAACCTCCATCTTAAGGAGTAGGCCCAGGTCACCCATGTCATCTTTCCTCTCCAAGCTGCATTTCTGTCTCTCCCAGACCTCTACCTTTTCTCCTCACTCTCCTTTTACGTGTTATGTTCCTCATTAGAATATAAGCTACTTAAAGGCGCTATTTTTGTTACTGTTTTTATTTGTATTCTCATTGCTTAGCACAGTACTTAGCATGCAGTAAGTACTTAATAAATGCTCGCTGACTTGATTTATGGACTCTCTATTTTCTATCAGCTTCCTCCTCTGCAAGATGAGAGGGCTAGACTAGACAGATGAACTCTTGAGGTTCTGGTCATCGATAAAATTCCACTTTTTGGATTCTGTTGTTGTTTGTTTTGGTACAATGAGAGTTTACTACAAGAGCCTGAATAGATTCCAAAGACATCCACACTAACAGCTCATTCCATTAACATAATATCAACCACAGAAGCTATCTGTCACTGTGCAATATTCAGGATTCAGGGTATTAGCCTGGCACATAGTAGGAGCTTAAAGCTTATTGAATGACTGATCTGTGCCCAATATACCCAGTCTTTCTAGCTGGAAGAGTCTGCTAGAGAAGGTGCTTTGCTTTCATGGCCTTTGAGAATTTAGTCACTTTTATATAATACTACTACTACTACTAATAATAATAATAATAATGTCCTTTATTTGTCCTCTAGAAGGACAAACTAAGAATTTGGGTAAATAAATGCCACAGACAGGGTGTACCAAAAGTCTTAGTGCGGTTTTAAGCCATTATTAAAGCTAAAACTTTTGGAATACCCTGTATTCCAAACACAGAAAACAAAGAAAGGGCACCAGCTGCTTTGATATTTGGGAAAGGTTTCTTTTTCATGTAATAAAGGGAAAAAAATCAAATCACCTTGAAAATCCTTCCTGCCTCTGGTTGTCTTGCAAGTTTATCAGGATCCAGGCCACCCCAGGCAGAGGTCACATATAATTCAGAATAATCCTTTCCTCCAAAACAGCAGGAAGTTGTTTTTTCAGCAGGCAGCTTTACTGTTTGAAGTCTTTTTCCTGGTTAGCAAAGGATTTTGTTTTAAATTCAGTTCTACTGATTATGCAAGTGCTATGATAACTAGTCACCCTTCTTCACAGTGAGATAAACACAACAGGGTCATTGCAGAAAAGATCCCTGGATTTGGAGCCAGAGAAATTTCTTAAGTAAGGGACTGATATGGTTAGACATAAGCTTTGGATCTATCAGTTCAGTAGCTCTGTGGATAATGAAGGGCAGAGAGAAGAGACTGGATATGGAGACTCTACTTAGGGATCTATTGTAATAACACAGGCAAGAGGTCAGGAGGGACTAGACTAAGGTGGCTGGGGTGTGAGAGGAGAGTGGATTCATGTGATCCCAAGGAAGTAGAATCAAGACTTGCCAGCTGTAAAGTCTAAGGTCCTTATTTTGAAGGCAGTCCTATCAATAATGATAATAATAATAATTTTATAATAAATTCCTACTCCATCTGTAAAATAAATGCTCCACTCTGTTCTGTTACATTCTCATTAGACAAATAAGTTTATGATGGACCTACCTGTCTCTGGATCTAAGCGGATCACTCTCCCTCCATTGTAGCAAGCCACCCAGAGCTTCCCTTCATTATCAATGCACATTCCATCTGGAATGTATTCTTCCTTTTCCATCTTGTACACACTTCTGCGGTTGGCTAGGGTAGGAATAGGTAGGTCAGTGCTGAGTATCTCACAGTTTTATTACTAAAATGTATCAGTTATCAACCATGTATTGTCTCCATCTGTCATATGGTCCAGACTCTTAAGGAATTTAAATTCTAGGAGACAAATGGATAGAATAACTCGAGATTTTTTTTTCCCCAAAACCATTTCTTTGGGGGAAGGGTGGAGAGAACAGATAGAAGAAGGTTCAGGTATGTTTATTTCTATTATTTTTATTTTATTTAGTCATGGTTTTATGGCAGTTTCTGGAAGGGAAAAGAAAAATGGTAATGGAATGAATTATGAAATACTTAAAACTCATTTCTTACTAAAATACTGAAAGTCATTTTTAAGATTCATCTGAATTCAAGTGCCCAGACTCTGATAGTATATAAACTGCATCCCAGTGGAATATTTCTTGTGGACTTTTTATTCATAGAATAGATATTTAAATTAAATCTAGTCTAGGAATGCATTGAATCTTACCTACATAAACAACAAAAACACAAAATTAATGTTGTGTGCAAACTGTTGTTTTGACAAACTGCTGCACTTTATAGAGACCAAGTGTGTGAGGCTGTATTTATTGAATAAGCCAAACGTATATTTATGTATAGAGGGTACATTTTGAAGCCAAAAACGGGTTGGTTTAAATAACTTGGAGAATCAAGAGCCCAAGTGATCTTTACAGGGACTACATATTCCTGAACTCTGAATATGGTTACTGTCAAATAAAGGTTCAACATTAAAAAAAAAAAATCAAACATGACATGTGAAAGAAAAGGAGAAAAAATATGTCAAGTGCCTTATTTTTAGAGCAAGACATCTGTGCTGGCAGATTTTCTAATGAAGTACATCAGAATAAAGAGAATTCTGGTTTCTTTGAGAAACAAAATTCAGTTTGGTAAGAGACTCTAGTAGATTCTTGCTTTTCTAGTAGGACAATCTTTCTTTTCAAATGTTGCCTTTTAAATTCATCCAAGTAGCAAAATAACCTAAAGCTATCACCACCTGAAAAGTTTTTTTTCCAATCATCCAAGAAGTTGTTTTACTTGACTGTGTTATTTTATTAAAAAAATTCCTTCAAAAGAAAAGGAAGGGAAAGAGGAGAGGAAAGAAAATAAATAGTGTTAATTTTTTTAAAATTAAATTTATCCAAGTAATTTTTGTCCCTACTATTTTAATCATAGAACCAGAATATTTCAACCTAATTCTCCTATCTTTGACAGACTATTAAAGCTAAACTGAGTAGTTGTCTAGGGCTAATCAATATATGAAAATCATCATTACAATCTAACTTTAGATATCTTTTCTTTACAGGTATGTCTTCCACATCGCAGGGACTAGGGAAGCAATAAGCTCACAATCTGGAAAATCTGCATAAAAGTTTTTGGCCCTCCCTTTGTACTAGAGAAGAAGTCTGAATTATTATGGTATTAAAAGACAAAAAATGTTGACATTATACATTATTACACTTGTTTTATGCATTTTTGAGTTTCTAAACCTTTTCTGTGTCTGCTGGCCTTCACATGTCTGCAGCTTCCACAAAAATCCCCAAAATTCACATTTAATTTCTTATGACAACAAGCGGTATATTGAAACCACAATGGCGAAAGTCAGAATATGGAAGGGATAACAGCATTCAATTCCATGTGTCTTACTTAATACATCTTTTGGTAGAACACTGGTAGAATCAGATCCAATAGAAACCCAACGCACAAAGCTGGTGTCAACAATCCCTAACATCTATAACATAAGCAAGTTAATCTTTTAAAAAGATGCAGGATTTCATCAGTGTGGGTACTACCCTTCACCTGTACAGACTATAATCCATCCATACCTTAGTGGATGGTTTTTTGTGAATGATTATAGCCAAACATATTCATGACCTTATATTGACCCTTTGATTTATAAGCCTCTCCAAAGTTAGCTAAACTGGTCCCCATGCAAAAGGCATACAATTCATCCCTCATTCCACACTCAAAATCCTTCTACTTTGGCAGGACTTTCCACACCTTGTACTTTATTGGAAGAGCCTTTGAAGGTCTCTATATCCACGGTGTTGGGTCTATGCTATACCCAGATTTCACTATTTATAATTCCATCTATTTTTGCTTATATTACTGGTTCTATTAACTTTTACAAACACAAGTATAGTTTAATATTACAGCAAAAACAATAGCTAGTAGTAAGTGTGTTAATAAGATTGTAGTCCTTCACTCTTTCACTATCGCATACAAATGCCAGCACTACAATGAAGAGTATTCACTGGCCCCCATTTAAAGGGATACAGGTTGACCTGCCCTCTATCCAAATCTGTATAATAATGACCCATATCACCACAATATTAGAAAGCTGTTTAGATCCTATCCAATTGAGTCCAGCCTTGACTGGGGCAGAAAGGTTGACTGTGACCGTCAGCTGCAGAAAGTAATAACATAGAGGTGACTTAAACAATGGCAAAAATAATCATACCAATTTTTCCTGTCTGTAAGTCATAATCAAAGGCATCCACAGAGTAAGACAGGCTGTCAATGTAATAGAAGATTTTGTGATCCAAGGACCAATCCAAACCATTCGAGATGTCCACATGATCAAAGTACTTCTCCACAGTGCCATTGGGAAAGAGAACGTACAGGGAACCTTGGTGCCTCTCCAGCACCCCAGGGGCAGTCTCCCCGGCCATGGTACCTGCAAAGATCACAAGGATATGAGAAATGCTGTAATATATTCTGCCACCAGGGTAGACAACATCCCAGGCTCACAGATATAGAGCTAGGTGAGACCTGAGAGGGCCCCTAGTCAAGCCCCCTAATATTACAGATAAAGAAACGGAGGCCCAGAGAGGTTATGTGACTAGAATAGGGTCACACTGCTAGGAAGTGGAAGAATTAGATTTCAATCCAGGCCCTCGGACTTCAAACCTTTCCACCATACCAGGCTGCTTTTCAGAAGTAGGAGAAAGTTTCTGCCATACTAACAGACAAGATTCCTGGGCTTTTGGCTGCATTCTTCTGAGCTCTCCCCAGGAACTTTGCTCCATCTGTCCCAGTCCTTGGTCTTCCTACCCACCAACAACCCAAGAGCTAGGAACCCTTAATGATGTCTTTAACTGACCAGTTTCTGAATAAATTTTTGTGTGCATATTAATAAACCTTCAACTCTAGACCCGTTTCATTTCTCCTGTCCACTTCACCTGTACCTATGAACACTATGATAACTCCCTAGACCAGGGGAATGGAGCTAGCTCGTGTTAGCATCTTTCTTAGAAGAAGATAATTGTTAGTGCTCACACTACGACTTAACGAAACACCAGCACAGATCTCTGACCCTTTGGGTACCTTATATTTATTAACAAATGGAGCCCTGGAGACACATGGATCCCACTTTGTTTTTACAGAATGAACCTATGGTATCTTAGGCCTAGAACTGCTCTTATTCTAGAGAAAGGCTGAGCTGCCAGTGACCTTTATGTCCAGGTCTACATCCCTGGCAACCAAATGCTCAGTACTGAAATTGCCCCTTGACAGGATTTCCATTCATTAATTAAATCACATAGAGTCTCAATGGATGCCAATCTGGGGTTCTTAATTTAATTTTTTTCTTTTTTTATCTAGAGCTGTGAGTTTATTGGTCTGGGAAACTCCCAATGTGAAATCACCCTCCACTAATGCAGACAGAGAACTGCCTACAGTTTATGGTCTTAGAGGTTCTCCTGGAGAGCTGAAAGGTTAAGCAATTTGTCCAGCCCATGTTTCAGAGACAGGATTTGAACTCAGATCTTCCTGCCACCATGGCTCGTCCTCAGCCCACTATGCAACACTACCTTTCAGTTTTACTAGTAACACTAATAAAAGTCATAATAACTGAGAAGGCAGAGATCAGAATTATGGTTTCTACTGAACAAGTGACAGAGGAGAAATATTATTAACTATCTGTCTATAAATCTATGTAAGATATATCTACATATATTTTATATATATGCATTTTTTAAACTATAGCTATTTATTAAAGGTTCAATTCTTATGCTGTCATTTGAAAAAAAAATGGTCATTGATTGAACAAGAATTTATTAAGTGCTCCTGTTAAGCAAGCATGGCATAGTGGATAGAAAGCTGGCCTTAGGCCCCGGAAGACCTGAACTCTAAATTCTGCTTGACACATGGGACTCTTGAGCAAGTCACTGATGCTCTCAGCATCTAGCACTGTAGGCAGCTCTCCAAGACTATGAATTGCAGAGAAAGGGCCAACCTGCCCTAGCAGAGGGAATTTCCTATATTAGTGAAAGCACAGGCCCAGGGCCTATCCCTATCCCACTGAGCTTGGTGCTACATTACTGAAAAGAAAACCAGCCTTTGCAATAATAGATTTCCCCACTAAAAATAGGTATACATTTATTAAAATTAGTCTTTGGTTCTGCCCCATTCTTATGTCATATTATTTAACTGATGGCCATGAAAATAAATCACAATGATCTGTCAGGCCCTTTAAATTGGGCTACCAGAAACTGCTTGTCTAAAAGCTAGAAAAGCAACCGATTCCCATAGTATTGTTTAATAACAAGAATGGGAAAGTCAATTTTTCTTCATATAATCTATATCTATATATATGTATTTTATATATATATATATGTATGTATGTATATATATAATATATATATATATATATATATAGAGAGAGAGAGAGAGAGAGAGAGAGAGAGAGAGAGAGAGAGACTATATTGTCAATGAGAGAAAAAGGGAAAGCAATTCTTTCCCCCCTTTCTTTTAACAAGTGGCAAGTATTGACCCAGAATACTACCATTACTACCCCCACTACTGTTAGGTACTACTACTGCTACTACTACTACTACTACTACTACTACTACTACTACTACTACTACTGTTGCTGCTGCAGCTACACTACTACCGCCACCACCACCACCATTACTACAACTACTACCACTACTACTACCACCACCACCACCACCATTACTACAACTACTACCACTATTATTAACACCACCATCACCACCCCCACTACTACTGTCACCCTATCTGGTAAACAGTACAGACTATAACCCATCCATGCCTTAGTGAACAGTCTTCCTGAAGTTTTTGTAACCCAGAAAAACATCACCTGGTGATAAACCTTTTTTGTACTGACCCAGGCTGGTCCCCAGTGTATTGGTAGGCCTGCCTGCAAAGCTTTCTTTTGCTTGGTAGGACTTCTAGATTTTCTGAATGCTCAAAGAGCTTTTGAGAACCTAGGGCCACCTCCCTGACTCCATGACCCAGCTGAGAATGGCTTTATCAGAGAAAACCCATCATTAACAGTATTTTCTTTCTCTTTAACATGTTGTAATCACTGTTTTCCCTATAAACACAGAAAGGCAAAGGTCAAAAAGCAAAAATCATACCAGCAAAGTATCTCCCAGCTGGATCCACCTTCCCATCATTGAATCGATTGTTTTTCTTATCTTTATCCACAGTGTACAGGACAGTTAACGATTGGTCCTCCCAGTTCAAAGTACAGAACCGAGTCCCTACTGTTGCAACATACCCACCAGACTGTCGAATGGCCACGGAGCTGACCGAACTATCTGTAATTGCAAAAACAAACACACACCATCAAAAGAAATGAGTCAGAACACATAAAATGTCCAACGTCAAGTACAGTGATATAGAAGAGACAGCACTGGTTTAGGAGACAAGACCTGGGTTCAAATCCTACCTCAATCACTTATTACCTACATGACCCTGGGCAAGTTATGTAATGACCATGGGCCTTAGGTTTCTCATCTAAAATGAGAAAGTTGGGAAAAGAAAAGCAGGCTACCTAGAATTGCCCGAAAGTTCCAGCCTTGCTGACTCCAGCCCAACATGAGGTAAGCTGCCAGAAACCTACAGCCTCTAATTACCAACATAAGAGGCCCCAGCACACAAAGCCAGTGACCAAGACCTAGGCTCCCAACACAAGAAGCTTGGGTCAGTGCCTCTGTTCCCCCCCAGGAGAGCTCAATCTCTTTAAAGGCCAGGGAATAAAGAAGCACCATGAGTAAAAAGAAATGTACCATAGATTCATATTATGAGAAGAGTGAAGATCAAGACAGAAATTCTAAAGAGGACAACATTGTCAACAAACACATATCTGCAACGTCAAAAGGAAATATGAACTGGTCTGAAGCCCAAAAAGCCTTCTTAGAAGAGCTCAAGAAGGATTTTAAAAGTCAAATGAGAGAGGTAGAAGAGTCCTTAAAAAATACAATTGGCCAATTGGAAAAAAAGTACACTGAAGAAAACAAGTCCCTAAAAACACAATTGGCCAATTGAAGAAGGAAGTACAAAAACTAACAGAAGAAAACAATCTGTTAAAAACTAGAATTGGACAAATGGAAACTAATGACTCTATGAGAGAGCAAGAATCAGTCAAACAGAAACAAAAAAATGAAAAAAGAGATGAAAATGTAAAATACCTCATCAGTAAAACAACCGACCTGGAAAATCAGTTCAGGAGAGACAATTTAAAAATTATTGGACTACCTGAAAATCATGATGAAAAAAAGAGCCTGGACAGTATCTTTCAGGAAATCATAAAGGAAAACTGCCCGAAGTCCTAGAACCAGAAGGAAAATAACCATAGAAAGAATCCACCATCACCACCTGAAAGAGATCCCAAATTGAAATGCCAAGGAATATAATAGCAAAATTCCAAAATTACCAGATGAAAGAGAAGGTGCTGCAAGCAGCCAGAAAGAAACAATTTAAATATCATGGAACCACAGTCAGGATTACACAGGACCTTGCAGCTTCTACATTAAAAGACCGCAGGGCATGGAACATGATATTCCGTAAGGCAAAGAAGCTTGGATTGTAGCCAAGGATCAACTACCCAGCAAAAATGAGTATGATTTTTCAAGGGAGGAGATGGATATTCAACAAAATAGGAGACTTCCAAACCTTCCTGATAAAAAGACCAGAGCTCAACAAAAAATTTGATCTTCAAGTACAAGATTCAAGAAAGACATAAAAAGGTAAATAGGACAGAAAGATACAAATGTTGTTAATAAGGGCGGACTGTTTACATCCCTACAAGGGAAGATGACACTTGCAGCTCTTGAGAACTGTATTGTTATTTCACCATGTAAAAGGAGTATATATAAAGGGGGTGCCTATTAGTTGACTTCAATGTAATTTGTCAGTATTAGGGTAGTTGGAGGAAAAAAATTATATGTATATATATATATATATATATATATATATATATATAGAGAGAGAGAGAGAGAGAGAGAGAGAGAGAGAGAGAGAGAGAGAGAGCACAGGGTGAGCTGAAGATTAAGGGGTCATATCTGGAGAATAAAATTATGGGATGAAAGAGGATTATACTTGGAGAATAAGAAAGGGAGAGGTAGAATGGGGTAAATTATCTCACAAAAAAAAAAAAACAGAAAAGAAAAGGCTCTTACCGTGGAGAGAAAACGGGGGAAGATGAGAGGGAATGAGTAAATTTTCTTCTCATAGGATTTGGCTTATGGAGGGAATAACATATACATTAAATTGGGTATGGAAATCTGTCTTACTCTACAGGAAAATAGGGGAAGAAGGGGAGAAGAGAGCAGGGGGATGATAGAGAGGAGGGCAGATTGGAAAAGGGGGTAATCACAAGCAAATACTTCTGAGGAGGAACAGGGTCAAAAAAAAGAATAGAATAAATGGGAGGGCAGGATAAGATTAAGGAACATAGAGTTAGTTTTTCACAACATGTCTGCTATGGAAGTGTTTTTCATAACTGCACGTGTATAACCTATATTGAGTTGCTTGCCTTTTCAGTGAGGGTGGGTGGGGAGAGAGGAAGGGAGAAAATTTGAAACCTAAAGTTTTAAAAACATATGTTTAAAAATATGTTTTCACATGTTACTGGGAAATAAGAAATACAGGAAATGGGGTACAGAAGTCTATCCTGCCCTACAGGAAAATAGAAGGGGAAGGGGATGAGAGAAGGGGGGAGAGATAGAAGAGAGGACAGACTAGGGGAAGGGATGTTCAGAATGTATGCCATTTTGGGATGGGGGGAGGGGTGAAAATTTGGAACTCAAAATCTTGTAGAAGTAAATATTGAAAACTAAAAATAAATTTATATTAAAAAAATAAAATACAATAAAATAAAATGAGAAAGTTGGATTAGTAGACCTCTGAGGGGCCTTCTGGCTCTAGAACTATAATATAATCCTATGTTCTTGTTTCAGCTCTGCTTTGAAGAATTTTGTAAATAATGATGATAAAGCATTTATGTAGCATTTAAGGTCTGCAAAGCTCTTTACTTACAGTATCTCATTTGAGACTCATGACAATATGAGACAGGAGCTATTACTATTCTCACTTTGTTAAATCATTAAGTTATTTTTCAGTCCTGTCTGACTCTTCATGACCCCTTTGTGGTTTTCTTGGAAAAGATATTGGAGTGGTTTGCCATTTCCTACTCCAGCTCATTTTACAGATGAGGAAACTGAGTTAAGCGATTTGCCCAGGGTCACACAACTAGTAAGTGTCTGAGGTTGAATTTGAACTCAGGAAGATGACTCTTCCTGATTCCAAGGAGAGTGCTCTATCCACTGTGACACCTAGCAGCCCTTATTCTTACTTCACAGCTGTAGAAACTGAGGTTTTATTGATTTCAAATGACTTACCCAATGGTCATGGGCAGCTACCCTCTGCCTCCAGAAAAAGTCTACAGCTTAAGACAACTATACCATTGTAGATGTGAAATTTTGTCCCAATTTAAAAGGAGCAAGAGAAATTATATTAATGAATGAGAAACTCAAAAACTGTTATCCCTTCCACATTGTGGGGGGGTGGGGGTGGAGAGGGGTGGGTTAAGAAAGCAGCACCCCCACTATCTGGAAAATCTGCATAAAATTTTTGGCCCACCCTTTGTTCCAGAGAAGAAGTCTGAATTACTATGGTATTAAAAGATAAAATATGTTAATATTATACAATACTATATACATATATTTTATGCATTTCTGAGTTTCTAAACTTTTTCTGTGTCATCTGCTGGCCTTGTGTGTCATCTGTGGCTTCCACAAACGCCCAAAAAAATTCTCATTTAATTTCTTATGCTAACCCTTGATATATCGAAACCGTGATGGGGAAAGTCAAAATGTGGAAGGGATAACTATACCTATGAAAACAAAGAAAGTTGGAGAGAAAAACAGAAGGAAGCCACAAAACATTTCAGAAACCATTTTATTTCATTCAACCAAGATGGCAGAAACAATTCCAAAAAAACCATAACTTCATTGATTTGAAGACTCTCTCCTTTAAGTACAGATTTTTACAACTTTCTGCACCCTAGGAAAAGGTTTTCGTGAGCTTCTGAGGCTAAAAACAGTTGACTGACCAATCTTTAGTTAGAAGTCTCTCTGCACTTAATTTGGCCATTGAATAGCATTGAATAACACATAATCTACTAACAAACAGGCCCATGTTCAACACCATACACCAAAGAACTAAATGAGCACAAGTTCCCAACTTGGTAAGATCTGCTGATGAGGATGGGCTCTAGACCCCAAAAAGGAAAAACCCTGGATTTTCCCACACGGCCAAATCTCTGGCATTTGCCTAAGGCTATAATCCCAACAACTGGCCTTTTGTTATAGCCTACATTCAACCTCCCAATTCTGGTTACCCTTTACCTAGCCTAGCTCTCCACTGTCTTACTTACCTATGGCCACTTCCCACCCTTAATCCTATCTAGGCTCCATTCTCCCTTGGTCACTGGTCCAAGTCCCTGGAATTTTATTAACTCATAGACTATTTGGCCACTCCTAGATCCCTCCCAAAGTCTTTCTGTATATAAGATCCATCTTGTTTCCATTAAGGTGCTCAGATTCTAGCCAATAGTTCACTAATATGATAGATGTTCTAATAAACCTTGTCTTTGGCTGAAAGAAGGCTTGGGTCAAATTCTTTTGGGCAGGATCTGATTTTGAGATCCCAGCACCCCAAAACCTCAACACAACTAGAGTTAGACCTTAGTGGGCAGAGCTTTCAAGAACCCAGCATCACTTCTTGCTATGGGGAGGTACTGCAATAGGTCTTTAATGGATAAATAATGCAATGCTTCCACTCAGCCTACATGTCAGACTGAGGGTGATGAAGCACTGAGTCAGTTTAGTGGAAAGAGTAAACACTGGACCTGGAGCCAGAAGACTCATATTTAAATCTCAGCTCTGACATTTACTCACTGTGACTCTCTCAAATCACTTAACTTCTACAGTCTTCAGTTTTCTCATCTGTAAAATGGGCCATAAGAGGAGGGCACAGTTGTAGAGGAAAGAGTGGTGGATTTGGAATCAGGAAGACTAGAATTTAAATCCCACTTCACAGATACAATGACCCTGGGCAAGTCAATTAATCTGTCTCAGTTTCAGTTTCTTCACCTGGAAATTGTAATGTAAAATATAATATAATATAAAAAAACCAAACACATCAATAAAGGTCATATGCAAAATGTGGATAAAAACCTCCAACTCGCAGGATTGTTGTAAGGACTAAACGAAATAAAAGTGCTTTGCAAACCCTTGGGTGCTCTTTAAATCCT